ACTTACTGTCAAAGAACCAGATAAGGAACCTGACACACTTGGTACACATCGCAAATCAATGGACTCCAGCTAATGTGAATTGCTACAACTTCAGAAGATAGAGAAACAACATAAGGACCTGATACCCTTGTGTTTCCCTAACAGCAGTACGAAGTCAACTGTGTATAACTGGAAAGTGACTGCCTGCACTATACACAGAAACAGTGCAGCACAGTTCTGCAGTCACTTGTTCTTTGATCAACCAAGTGATTACATCATTCAAGTGATGTCATCCAATTTGTATTAACAAGAGTATTACAACAAAACATCACTTGAACACTTGAGAATTCATTCCAAGCATTCAAGCCAGATCATGGACTCTGTTTCTTAGAACAAAAGATGAAACCTTTGAAGTATTCGTTGCCTTTGTAAAGAAAATCCAAGTGAAGAAGGAATCGAGAGTAGCATGCATTAGATCAGATCATGGAACAGAGTTTGAAAATGCCAAGTTTGATGAATTCTGTACCGAGAATGGCGTTACTCACAATTTATCAGCTCCAAGAACTACCCAGCAAAATGGAGTTATGGAAAGGAAGAACAGAACTCTTGAGGAAATGGCAAGAATAATGCTGATTGACAGTGGGATTGCAAAGAACTTCCGGGCTGAAGCTGTCAACACTGCATGCTACTTGGTGAATAGGTGCATGATCAGATCTCTCCTGAACAAAACCCCTATGAGTTGCTAAATGTTAGGAAGCCCAAGCTGACTCACCTAAGAACATTTCGGTGCAAATGATATGTTCTCAATAATGGAAAGGATCATCTTGGAAAATTTTATGCCAAGAGTGATGAAGGAATCTTTTTGAGGTATTCTTCTTAAAGCAAAGCTTACAAGATATACAACAAGCGGACTTAGTGTGTTGAAGAAAGTGTTCACGTAATCTTTGACGAGTCCTATCCCTCATGTGAGAAAATCAACAAGGATTATCAAGATGGGGAGCCCTTACTGATTCCAGGTAAAGTCATTGACATGACAAATAGAAAGACAGACATGATGAGTCAAGTGAAGGAGCCAAGTGGAGACAATGCAGCTTCTTCCTCAAGGAAACCAGGTACCAAAATTACAACCACTAAAGCTGAAGAAAGAGTGGCTGATGGAGTGCAAAGTACTCCATAGGTAGCTGAGAGAAGAATACAAGGGAACCAGTTAGATCTACCTAGCTCCTCTACAAAAGAGGTTCAAGTGACCAACTGGAAACACAAAAGCTCCAATCCTCTTGACAACATAATTACCTCTCTAGATTCAGGTGTGCAAACCCGATCAAAAGCCAGAAATTCACTTGCCTTCTCAGCCTTTCTTTCCCAAATAGAACCCCAAAACATCAAGGAAGCCTTAAAAGATTCTGACTGGATCACAACCATGCAAGATGAGTTGCATCAGTTCGAGGTGTGGATAATAGGTTTCTGCTCCTGAAAATATTTTACTAACGTAATAAACGGGAAATTGCGTACCTTCTTCTTGTCGGACTAAAACGGCACATACTGCTACTTCCGAGACCGCTAGACATATTAGCAACTGCTCGCCTTCCCCCGATTTTGATAGTAAAAGGGGGCTTGATAGGTACCTTTTTAGGTCTTTCAAGGCCTGCTGGCATTCCAGAGTCCATTCAAAATTCTTCTTATTTTTCAAAAGTGAAAAGAAGTGATGGCACTTTTCAGAGGATCTCGAGATGAATCAATCATCTGATCAATGTTCGGCAATGGTAACAGTCACCTCGTTCATCTCTTTTGTCGCCGGTTGGTCTCCTCTTATTTGCTTGATTCCTTTTGGTGTTGGGAATTTCAACAATTGATGATATGTTCAGGATACGACTTTCATCTCATGTATCCACGACCTTCCGATGATTATATTGTAACCTATATCATGTACAACTTCAAATATATTGGTCATTGTTAATCCTTCGTCGTGTGTGGGCAGAAAAGTCTCTCATTGGGTTGTCACACTTATCAAGTTGAAGCCAACTAAGAGTTTTGTCACCGGAACGATGTTCCCGATTAATTTTGCTTGCTCCAAAACTCTCCATTGTATTATGTTGGATAAGCTTCCTAGGTCAACCAAAACACATTTAATTTTGAAATCTAAAACATTGAGAGTGATTACCAAAGCGACATTGTGCGGAAAAAGAAGTCCATCAACGTCTTCCTCCGTGAAAGTGATATCATCTTCTGTGACTTCCCGAAGTCTCTTGTTACGAATCATCGATATCTTCTTTTATGTTGCTGCTGAAAAGGCTACACCGTTGATTTCATTTCCTCCGAAAATTATATTGATAGTTAGCTGAGGGGAGGCTTTTGCTACCTTCGAAGTCTCTGCATTGTCTCGGCTTCGACCATAGTTATTCTTGGCTCGGTCACTTAAAAATTACCTAAGATGGCCATTTTTCAATAATGTCGCCACCTCTTCACAAAGATATCGACAGTCCCCAGTTCTATGGTCGTGAGTCCCATGGTATTCACACCATAAACTGGGATCCCTCTGGCTTTGATCGGATCTGATTGGCTTCGGGAATCATGCTTATTTGATATTCTTCATTGCCGATACCAGCTCTACTAAACTGATGTTAAAGTTGTAATCAGATAACCTAGGATATGTGGAGTCTCGAGCCCTTAGCACCTCCTTCTCCTGTAATGACCTGCCGCTCTAGCCTTGATCTATTCTTCTATCGGGAGCAACTTATCCAATGATCGAAACTCTTTGCTGCTACGACCTTCGCTTCTTTCATACGATAGAAAACAACCTCTTGAGGATCGATGATCCGCATCAAAGTTGCTTTTAAACTTGTCCTAGTTTTTGTCTCCATCCCGTCCCTTGGTTGATACCGGGAACCCGAGCTAATCGTCTTCTATCCTTATTTTTGACTCATAACGGTTATGGACATCCGTCCATGTGGTTTCTTAAAACTCGAGCAGGTTTTCCTTTAGCTTTTGGGAGGCGTCAGAGCTCCACGAATTTAGACCCTTTGTGAATGCCTCTGCTGCCCGCTCATCTGGTATCGCCGGTAACAACATCCTCTCTTTCTGGAATCGGATCACAAATTCTCGTAGAAGTTCAGACTCACCCTGTGCAATCCTGAATATGTCCGTCTTTCTGGCTTGAATTTTCATTGCTCCGACATGGGCCTTAATGAACGAGTCTGCAAGCATCTCAAAAGAGTCAATTGAATGCTCGGGTAAGAGAGAATACCATGTCAGAGCCTTTTTATGACGGTTTCACCAAACTTCTTCAGTAAAACCGATTCAATCTCATGTTGTGCCAAAGCGTTTCCTTTCACAGTCGTGGTGTAGGTTGTGATGTGCTCCTACGGATCTGATGTCCCATCGTATTTTGGTATGTCTGGCATCTTAAACCTTTTTGGAATTAACTTTGGTGCTTCGCTTTAATATGGGCCTTTTAGTATTGGTGGCGCGCCCGGAATCTGATCTATCCGAGCGTGAAACCCCTTCGCATTTTGATCCATTAGTTTGTTCATTTCCCTCATAAACCTCATAAGCTCGGTTTTTAAGGGATCATTCCTGTTGTTATTCCCAGATCCGATACTAGTCCCTCTAGCTTTTTCGAAACTGACTTCACCCCTTGGGGTGTTGTTATCAACCCTCTGAGCCATTTGGTTTGCAGGAAAACTAGGAGGAACCGGGCCCCTTCCGTTCGTGTGATTAGAAGTGCCTCACAATGCTTGTTTTAGCCCCGTCATCATCCGATCCTTCCTTGAGAGGTGTTTTGTGATTGCTTTATGTTGTTCTCTTAGGATTTTGACCATTTTGCACGACATGTTCCTCATCCGCATCATCGAGAGTTAGTTCCCACACATGCCGAGGATACTGGCCATCTCTAACCGGGGTCACCTCATCCCTTTTGTTGCGAGTCTCACTAATTGAGTCATAATATTGGGACAATTCTTCGTGCCCCTCATCATTTTGTGTGATGTTGTCATCATTAGCTGCCATATTATTTTTCACTAAGGAAATAATCAAAATAAGTTAGTAATAAACGTAAGGATCAAAGCAATTACACAACTATCTAAGCCCTACAGTGGGCGCCGAACTGTTTACCCGTAAAACGGTATAATTAAATTTATTACGTGGTTTATAGACAAACGAATTAATTTGATCCAAAATGATAAAGAGATTAAAATTGAGATTAGCAATTGAAAATGAAGAAGGTGACAAACTAGCTCCGAATGCAATGCCTCCAAGGACAAAAGTGAAAGTAACGATAAATTGCAAATAAACTTATTTAATTGAGAGCAAAAGTAATAAATAAAGCTTTTGTATGCATAAAGTTTCGTGTCCTTACAATGGCTGTTAAGCGTGCTATATATAGCTTTACCTAGGGAAACAAGATTCTAGGATCAAACTCCTCTTAAATGATAATAAAAGAGTCATTGATGAACGCGTAACGGCAGAACATGAATGCAAATATTCTCGCAACGGTCGCTCATTTAATATTAACAAATATTCCCTCATTGAATGCTATCCGATGACAAACCCTTTATCTTCTCCCATCGACTACGCTCCCTTTGGGATTTATCCGATATTGATTATATTCATTGTATCCGATATTGGTTACTAAACTGACTGGCCCTTTGCCTATTTTCGGCCACGTATTATGTTACCATTCGACCATTTATTATAAATCAATTTTACCCCATGCATAAGATATATGGAGGGTCTTACAAAATCAGCAGTTTTACTCGGGTTCAGGCGTTCAGCTTTCATACTATTTTTCCCCCTAACAAAATTTAGTCCAACTCGGTTTCGGAAAAGGAAAGAGGCACGTTGTAGTGGTAACGTAACAATCCTTCTCCTACTTTACTTCAGCCTATTAAAAGCTAAATCTCGCACACCATTGGACTCGCTCTGCATTTGCAAATCCTCTATATAGCCTCAGTACCGCAACTGCTTTATAATTTGTCAAGAGGATTTACAAATTAGTAACTAAGTTGTAGAAGCCATGACAAGCCATGACGTTAAAGAGAAGCAGAGAAGAAGAATCAGTATCAGTGGAGAAACTAGCAATGGCGAATTGTGCGGATATCATGAAGAGGAATCAGTCATTAGGACGTAGAATCTTTGAGTGCAAGACATGCAAAAAACAGTTTGATTCGTTTCAAGCACTTGGTGGATACAGAGCAAGTCACAAGAATACAACAAATAAACTTATGATGACTCTTCTCCCTGTACCCATTGAGCCCAAGAAACACGAATGCTCCTTTTGCGGCGAAGAGTTCTCTCTGGGCCAAGCTTTGGGTGGTCACATGAGAAAGCACCGCGATCAGTTGAATCAAGTTCAGCATAAGAAGAAGAAGTTACAAGAAAAGTGTGATGAATCTGAACAACAAGTTGTTAAAGAAAAGAAGCATAATTCGAATAGTGAACGAATTTTGTTCTTGGGTTTGAATTTGACGGCATATGAGAATGAGTTGATGACGGGGGTAACTTCCATATAGCTAGCAAGAGATTATAGAAATTTAGTTAGACACTTAGAAAAATTTCAGATGTTGTTGTGGCTTGGTGTACATAAAAGAGCTACAAAAATTTTGTCCAATATAAGAACTAAAATAATCACATGATTGTTTTTCGTGCAAAAATTTCTCTCTTATCTGCAAATTTTTGTTTGTTCAAATAAATTTCAAAGAATTCAAGTTTTTGCACAATCAGCTTTACTCATATGGCAATTACAGCATACTAGCTTTTGAAGATGATAGTTTTTAAGTGTTGGGTTTTGGGTTAAGGGTTGAAGAAGTGTGTTTGGGATTGCCTTTAAGATAGTAAAAGGTCACAACCTGAACTACCATCATGCCTTTATGTTCAAGTTCTCCAATTTTATTTTTGTAGTAATTTATTCTCCTGGTTTGATATATACATTAAATGATATTGAACTATGCAAATGACTTGACTGGGAGTCTATTTCTTAAGTAATTAGCCATATGTGCACTTACTGATCACTCAAAAGATTGTGGAGTTGGAAAATACACGGTCTAATTATTTTATCGAGATTCATTAAGTATGCAATTACTCATGTATGTAAATTTTCTACATGGACGGTATATAATCCTTCTTTCTTATGGACGGTAAATTTATTCTTCAAGATACTTTAAATATGGTGTGATTTGGTTAGCTTTGGGCCAAGTTCGTACGGATTTCCTAAAAGGTCTCACACTATTAAGAGATCTCCACATCTTATATACAAGTTCCTAATCTTTTCAGCTAACAAAGTGAGACTTTATTCACACACCCAACTAGCTTCTTATTGTTTATGTACTTGCTACTTGCTTCTTCTTATATGTGTACGTTGCTACACTCGTAAGGTCATGTTTGGCGATAATTCAATATTTTATGACATTACTTGCCTTGCATTTTGAGGATTTAATAATAAATTGTGTGAAGTTTGGGATTAATTGAGTTGATTTTATGTTTAAAAACTTTGGAATGCGAAACAAGAAGAAAGGTGCACAAAATAACATTGAAGACGTGGAAGTATAGCACGAAAGGAAAGTCGGCAGAAGGCACGACAAAGTCGGAGCCCTGAATGGCGCCCCACTTCACCCAGGGCACCAAACCTGTCGTGCCCCATGGTGCTTCACGAGACCAGAAGTGTACTCCAGATGACGCCTAGCGAGATCCAAGCAGCGCCTCGCGCCAACACCCATGTGCCAGGAAAGAAATTGTTTCCTTGTTGATTATAGACTTGGACATTTTAACCCTCACATATAAATACCCCTAAACTCGTTTTGGACGAGGTTGGACACATTTTAGAGACAAGAAGAGCAATAGAATACACGTGGATACGGAATCATCGCATCCTCCATCCTTTTCTCTAGTATTTGTAGTTTTATGATTCAAAGCACTTTTGTGATTGTTCATACAATTATAAATAGCTAAAATCCATCATCTTCTGGGGTTATGGGTAGCTCTTGATTGTTAAAATTTAACTGTTGTTGAGATTGCGTGAGTATATCATATTTATTTGCTTTTTCACTCTTGTTCTTAATTATTTTACTGAGTAGCCAACTGTAAAATACTATCTATGACTCTATATTTGAACTCGAAAGAGGGAATTATAGATTGCATGTAAGATTCAACAGAGTAAGATCTTGAATTCGAACATTAGAGAATAGATTCACGAAGAGGATAGACATATGCTAATTGCCTTATTAGGTTCTTTTTGCAGGAATTACACATGTGTTCGAGTTAATTTTGATTCTATAGACATATAGTATTAGATTGGCTTGAATAGGCGAGCAAGCCGTCGAAAGAATCTTGTGAGCAAAATAAACCCTGTAAATCAACAAATCAGATAGATCGATTAGTTAAATCAACCGAAAAATTCAATAGAATAGACATTAATCCCATAACTCGAAAATATCTCCATCTCAATGAATTTTTTCCTAAGATATTCATATGCTCGACTTGCATCCTTGTTTCCCTGTTTACTTGTTAAATTATGTGGTAGTTTTAGTTAAGTAAAATCACAATCATATCTAACAAAATCACTAGAACAAATGGTCAGTAGCTAGTTTAGTTTATACAATAGTTAATCACAAGTTCTTGTAAGAATGATATTTTCTTATGACTTTATTACTTGTCAACAAAATATACTTGCGGAATCCGAAACCTAAATAATGACTTTTGAAACTTAAAATATGTTTATACGGTTTAAAAAAAGTTACTTTTTTACCTAAAACACGATATTATACTGCGTTTTAGTCTGTAATGCGTTTTACTTCTCTTTCTACAACAGTGAACTTTGGGACCCACTATTTGCAGGTTTTGTCTAATGAAATGGAAGCAAGAACTTTCTACCTGATTATTGTTGATGTTTGTTCTGCAGTGAGAATTAATTTACATTCACGCTGCGTAAGATTTATTAGAGAGCAAACCACTTTTTACAAAAATAAAAATTATTGTTAGGACTTAGGACACAAAATAATGATTTCTGATTAATAATTTTTTTTGTCAAATTTCTAAAAACAGCTTATTTTGAAAAATATTTTTACTAAAAATATTTTTTTTAAAGTATTTTGGTGAGAAGTCATTAGTATTGGACTAATTAATTTAAAAGGTAGTTTCGAGCTGCAATTAATATTTAATCAAGTTTTTAAAAATACTTTTAAGTGTATTTTTTTAAAATAATTTCGGAAAAAGCTATTTTTCTCCTGCTTTTACTTCTACTCAAAAATATTTTTTTCCTTCAAATATCTTAATTTTAAAAATAATAACTTTAACAAACAAAAAAAATATTTTTGGCCCAAAAAAACTTGGCCAAGGTTATAAGAATATAAGAATTATATTAATCTCAACATAATCTTAGGGTGATAAATGGGGTGAACTTCTGATATACATGAAGATGACGTGGTTCCTAAGAGTTATGGATAAGCTCACATCATCACTGACGCAAATATGAAATATGATGACATTAATTTCGAAATAATCTGTTAAGAGTTTATCTAAGATTACGTGGCATTTGGAAATTATTTGCAAGTTGGAGATGTGTTCAAAATGATGTCCACGTTTTGGACTTTGAGGAGATGAGTTTTGATTCTTACTTTTCTGATTTTCTCTCATTTGTATTAGACAAAACCTGCAAATAGTGGGTCCCAAAGTTGACTGTTGTAAAAGAGAAGTAAAACACATTACAATAATACGTTTTACTTTCTGTCAAAGTAAGATGCAATATAATACTGCGTTTTAGGTAGAAAAGTAACTTTTTTTTAAAAACTGTATAAACGTATTTTGAGTCCCAAAAGTCATTATTTAAGTTTCGGATTCTATATTTATGTGTGCGGTTGACCCCAACAAGTTTTTGGCATCGTTGTTGGAAATTTAGAAATTAGCTATCATTCTGGAATAAGTTGTTATTTGTTATTTGTTTAAGCTTTAATTTTTCTCTTGTTGTCTCTACATTTACAGGTGTTCTCCCGTGAATGCGGAGAAGCATGAGTTTTAACGTCATCACCCCTTGTGATGTGGAAATAGAAATAACTCTTCATAAGGTCAACGACGCCAATTTTGATGACGTCCAAATTCACTACTAAAAAGTAAATAGATACGGTCATATACAATATAATTTACCCAACTAAGAATCGGGGTTGAATCCCACAAAGAACAATATGTAGGCGATTACGTGTATACGAGAATTATCACTTATTATGCTAAGCCAAACACTTAGAATGGTTTTGAGAAAATATTTATATCTAAATGCGGAAATATAAACTAACCTAGAAAGCAAGTAAAATGATCAATGACTACAAGTATGGATACACGAGGAATTACACTCAAGTAACGATCCAATGTATTTCACGATTTTATAAATATGAGCGAGTTTATGTTAATTAGCCTCGGGTAATAATTCTATGTTAGCTTCTTCTAAAGACCAACAAGACTTTCTAATTGAATTATCCCTAAAACAATTAAGAGATTAAGCACACCCGATTATGGCTACAAGTAGTTCAATCCTATCCCTAGGTAGAATCTATAAAGTGAGAGTTAAAGCCTCAAGTTCTTGTTAATTAATCTTTTCCAAAATTAATTCGAAGTAACTCGGCGAGTCCTACGGTTAGCTAATCCCTTTGGAAACATTAAAGAACAAGGATAATTAAAGAAACAATAACTCATTTCATAATAAACAAAAATCGTTCAATACATAAGCACAATAAGATATTTAATCCACACTTTAAATATGAATATTCCCATAAACAAGATTCAAGTGCTAGAATAAATACTACACACTTAGATATACAATACAAAGAAAGAAAATAAAGAAATGAACATAAGTGGGTAAGAAATTCTCAACCAAAAGCTTCAAATCTTCAATACCAAAGTGTGTGTGCAAGAACCCTAGTTCCAAAACTTGTTTCTCTCTAGTCTAAGGATTGAAAAATAAGCCAAAGATATGCCAAAGATGAGCTAGGCCGTGTATTAAATGGTTTGGGGATCAAAACGTGAAATTCCATTTCTGCCTAGAATTTTTCCAGAAAACAAGCTATGCGTTCGCGTATAGACACCCGTGTTCGCGGTGAATAACTTCTCCAAAGGTACGCGATCACGTACAGTGTCCCGCGTTCGCGTAGCTTAGTTGACCAGCCGCTGACCAGGCTTTCTTCTTCGCGTTCTCAAAGCTTTAACCGTGTTCGCATAGGTTCAATCTGCTAAACTTACGTGATCTCATAGAGCATTCACTGGCAGCAATCCAATTTTCCCAATTTAACACATTTTGACTTGTTTTCTTCCGTATCTTCTCCAAATCATATGATACCTGAAATATGCCAATAAACCTTAGAAAATGCCTTAGTTTCTCAACAAAATCATATAAAAGCCTAAGTATTAAGAAGAGATAAGTTGGTAAAATACCAACTTATCAGAGGCTGAAGCTAGAGGTAGAATTGGAAAGTTGGGCATCATAGTCCCATAGCCAATAGAGATGGCAGTAAATGACGACCAACTGATGATAGAGGCTGCAAGGCTTAATCTT